TTTGTCAAGTTTCTGCATTAAACATGTTTAAAGTCTTCAACAGTTAAATCTGAGATAAATCAGCTAAACATTCGTGGTTAAAGAAAAAGTTCAGATGATTTAAGTGAGATTCTGTGCTAAAGTTTGGAATRATAATATCTTACCTGTGGCAGATAGATCTTTAAGCTCTTTTTAAATCTCAGTTTGGAAAAACTGTGTAGCCTAAAGTACTTCCTGTACTGTCTGTAGCACTTCATGTGTAGTTGGGAGTACTTCCTGTGTATCCTGGAGTACTTCCTGTGTAATCCGGAGTACTTCCTGTATATCCTGGAGTACTTCCTGTGTATCCTGGAGTACTTCTTGTGTATCCTAGAGTACTTCCTGTGTAGTCTGGAGTACTTCCTGTGTAGTCTGGAGTACTTCCTGCATAATCTGGAGTACTTCCTGTGTAGTCTGGAGTACTTCCTGTAAAACTAACAATGCTGCAAACCATATTTCTAAAAGGTTTAGGCAGGTTTTGAGACTGGAGTGATTTTAAGATTGATTTTGGTCTTATCCTGACTAGCCATTAGCTCATCAATCAAGCAGGGATCAAACTTTAATTTAATAAACTAATTCTGTTCAAAAAGTTACCTTCAACAGGTAAGATACTGTTTACATCTTCACAAAGTCCCTCTTGTATGAACTGAAGAAAAGCAAGCATCAGATTTAAAGAGGTGCTGCAGCACCCCCTGGTGGAGGATAGAGGACATGTAGGTTAAAACATTTATTGTCAAACAAGACCATCAGAATTTATTGTGTTTGTATTTATACTGGTTTGGCTCTGGTAAATTCCTGTTCTTCTACACTGAAAAAGGACAAATTATGATAAAAATAAGCAATACTTAATACAAAAAATGATAATTAGTTTAAAAAAGATAAGAAGAGGATCTGGTTTGTTTAATGCTCTTTCATTTAGTGACACAGAAAATCAGCTGTTTGTTTTAGAACAACAAATATAAAAGGTTGATTAAAACCTGAAACATTTCATAAAACAAACTTTATTGACTGTTTTTTCAAAACCTTTTTTATTTGAAATGAGTCTAATTTAAATATTCTCTTTTGTTAAAACTAAAAATAGTAAAATATTATTTACCTGGTCTCGTCTCCAAATAAGAACCTGCTTCCTAAAACAGATAAAATCAACAAGTCAAAAGC